AGAGGCTACCAACCGGGTTAACAATTGTACTGCACTCCTCATATATGAATCTTGGTCAGTAGCAACTAGAGGAGGAATATGAGGTACATTATCTTCTCTATGTCATTTTGGGGGTGGTGGTGTTGTCCTCGAAGCCTGAGTTCCAGCCTCATCTTGAAGTCCATGTTGACCCAAAGTAGGCAGGTGGCACCTGACTGATACCTTCTATTGCTTCTTCATTCAATCCCTGCATAATTTCCTGATGTCACGTGGCAAGCATCGTTATAAATATAAATAAAATTAGAATTAGAAGCGAATACTTATGACTTCAGCTCTATTGCACGATCTAGATAAAAAATAAGGGTGTTTATCCTATATATCATGTAGCATCTTGCTTATAAGTATGGTGCACAACATACCCATAAATAAAACTCTACTAGATACGGCTTGCAGACTTCCCAATTCACGACCTGCTCTAATACCAAGTTTGTCACACCCTAACATTGGGAGGTGCGACTGGCACACGACGCCCGAAGGCTCGTGCGAACTGACGTCTATTCTTGCATTCTTTTTGCTCATAAAACTGGGCCATTGCGGCCTTCAGATAATGACACCAGAACTAATATGTGTGCAACTGATTATCAAAAGAAACATTGGCATTTTATACATGACCATCGTTTTGACCAACATCGTCATACCCGACCATTACATGCAATCAATACTAACACTAGTTTGCAAGCCTCTAAGAGTACCAAAAGGGGTATACATATTACACACTTGATCGGGACATGGCCCCACCATACCTAGAATTGGAATATGTGCCTCAGTACCTAATGACTTCTGAACAGCTGCTCCGAGGTAGTTGAGCGCAACGACCAATCAGCTGGAACAACACCTTACTGGGGAGGGGCGTCATCGGGTCTATCTGTACCTGTGGGCATGAACACAACGTCCAAAAGAGAAGGGCGTTAGTAAGGATAATGTACTAAGTATGTAAGACTAAGAAAACATATATAAATTAAGGACAAATCATAACATAGGAGATATGAGTACTTGATTTCAACCTGGTTACCGAAGACAAGCCACCGGGGGCGTAAATTAGGGAAGTTACAAACCATGAATCATGAATATATGCAAGCTTTTGTAAAAATCCAGCCACTCATTGGGGGCCATGCATTACTT